AAGTCCGTTGTACAGAAAACGTGCCATGTCGATCATATATTAAAATCAGTCACTGTGAAATGTCGTCCGACTAATATTGATGATAATAATAATAACAGATCATTTAATGAAAAAATATCATTACATATTTATATATATTTATATATATATATATATTATTTTTTATTTATTAATTTGAAATAATAAAAATAATAATAATTTTTTTATTTATTAATTTGAAATAATAAAGGATTATGAATTGGTTCACCTAATTTTGAGATAAAAGGAATTGGTGGAATATCATGAGTATGTATCATAATTGTGGCCATATGAGCTACATTGGATAAATTTGTATCAATAGGGTTTCTTGCTTGATGAATATCATGATAATCATCAATCAACAACACATTAAGGAAATTAAGCTTTAAAATAGATAAAAAATATTATTATTATTTTTATTATTTCAAATTAATAAATAAAAAATTATTATTATTTTTATTATTTCAAATTAATAAATAAAAAAATTATTATTATTTTTATTATTTCAAATTAGTAAATAAAAAAATTATTATTATTTTTATTATTTCAAATTAATAAATATTAATCTATTACAACCATATCTTATTTCTTAAATATTCCAGTAATCTTTCTTCATGACTTTTTACTATATTTTTTTTTTCTCTTATTACAGTTTTATATGTAGTTGTAAATCCCAAATTTGATAAAGTGTCTATAGTTGATGCTGAAGTACCTGAGCTAGACAAATTTAAACCAATTTTTTTTTTTGCAGAAGTTACCTGTTTATTTCTTAAACCTGCCATTTGATAACAAAGTATCATTACCTTTTTTTTAAAATTGTATAATGTTGTTAAATTTTTTGCAACAGGATTCATACTTTGATAAAGCATCTCAAAAAAACCAATTAATTCAGGATCTCTTGTTTCAATCATTTTGATAAATTCATCAGGATCATTTATAGGCTCATTATTTTCATGATGTTGATAGTTATCAAGAACAGTTGTTAATCTTTTGATTTTGTCATTGAAAATACTTGAAAAATTAACTGCATCTAAAGATGTATAAATAAAGTTATTAATTTTGAATCAATATATCATTATGTTAAATATGTAAAATATAAAATATAAATTAAATAATTCCAACAAAAAAAGGAAAAATATATATATATATATATATATAAATATGTAATGATATTTTTTCATCAAATGATCTGTTATTATTATTATCATCAATATATTTATATTCTAAATCATTTACCTGTCATTTCATTTATTGAATACATTGTAAGAGCTTCTATTTCTTTTTTTAATTTTGTTATCTCATTTTGTAATTCTTCAATTGAAGCTAAAGAATTATTATTATCAGTTGCAATATTTTCAGTTGATTTATGTCTTTTAAATGGCTTGTTATCATTTTTCTTGTTGTATTTTTGATTCCTGTCATATTGCACCACACAATTATAACAATTTGAACAAAGAGAATCACCAACGTTTACAAAAAATTCTCCCTTGTTAGCTTTTTTCTTAGCCTCTTCAGTAACATTTCTAAATGTTGAGAATTTTTCTTCTTTACAGTAATTGCAGAATTGATTTTTAGGTGGCATTTAATAGATTGCAATTTTGAAAAGTGTGATCTTCTCTGTGATCTTTTGACAGTTCGTATAAAACAACTAGGAGAATAATATATTGAATTTTGAATGGTCGTTAATTAGTACACTTGTACCCACTTTAATTGATGGGACTGGTTGATTATTTTAAACAATATAAATAATCCGTGTAACATTTTACGTGATATTTGAATGTCCACCATGCTAGGGGTGTTCAAAGTTGTTCCGTTCCTGTTTCCTGTTCCTTGTTACACAGTCAAAATTAAATTTTATTGGCTGATCAGAAGGAACAGAGAAACAACAAATTTGTTGTTTTCTCCTTGTTTCCACTTCCAAATTTGGAAACGATTTTCAAAAAAAAAAATAAAAAAAATAAAAACAAGAAAAACGAGAATATCATAAAATAGCTTCTACTAATAATGTACAACAGCCCCGTCCAGTTCAAAGAGTAGCTTCTACTAATGACATGCAACAACAACAAAGCATTTATCCAGTTCAGTAACTTCTACTAATAATAATGATGTGTAACAACAAAACTTTCATCAAATTCATCCAATTCAGTTATTTCTTGGAATAGATTTAGAAACAATACTCAATCAATGCACCATCTGGCCACTAAATAGTTTTGTTATTATTAAAGATTGCATCATTGATCATAAATGCATGATAGTATGCTAAGATGCTTCGCATTCGATGCTAAATTGATAATGTTGTTTGACGAAATGTTGTCATAATTGTAATTGTAAAATTATTACATCAAATTCACTGCCATTAAGTCAAGTGAATTGCTTTAAAGGATAATAAAATATAAAGGCTCACAAATCTCCTTTGTTTCATCAGTTGTTCCCAAGGAGCTAAGCTTTTCTTTTGCTGAATACAAAAGTTCAATTCCCACACACTCATTTATTACTAAACTTGGACATCTCTTATATTAATAACGAGATACATGATTAGGGATTTGGTACTTTATGTTCCAGGGTCAGCTAATTTTAGTGTATAATTATTATGAAAATTTTATGTCAAAGCTTTTATAATTATTATCAAATGTAATCACGAAGATTGATCAAATTACTTTGCAATAATAGACCCATCTTTATCTTTATCCTTATTGTAGTGATCAATGAAAATTTCATTAAGGATAACTTCTGGTCCTCACAGAGAAAAAATAGATAATTAACATATAATAAAATAAAAATTATTTAATAAACTTTTAAAAATAAAAACATAAATAAAAAACATTGTCTTTATTTAAAACACTTTTATAAAAGTAGCAAGTGTAGTTGGTGCCTTGGTAAAAGGTAACAATAATGGAGCATTTGTGAAAAGCCATGTTTATTTGCTTTAATGAGCAAGTTAGCAAGGTTAGGACTAATGTTGGTTAACTAGTGAGTGCTAACAACAGTTAGTAACATAATTTGCTTTAGTGAGTAAGCAAAAGTTTGGACTAGCATTTGTTAACTAGTGGGTGTTGATGAAGTAATATTATTGTAGTTGTAAATGTAAGGCTATTAAACAAGCTACTTAAGTTGTTTTGCAAGTAAATCAAAGCAAGTTTGCAATCTGTCAGTAAACGACTGAAACAAATCGATCACAAATGAATAAAGGGACTTTATAGCATTTCAAAAGGACCATATTTATTTATTTACAGTTATCTGGTACCATTAAATGTGCTCATAGATTCGTCTAGACTCAAGAAAAAGGGAACCGAAGTAAATTCGTAAACTAATTAATTGACAAGCACCAAATTATTGTGAATTAACTGACAATAGTAGCCCATAATTGTTAATTAACCGAAATGATATCACCATTTAACAAGAATCAAAAAAATTGTAAAAAGTTTATTATTTCAAAATATTGTTACAAGATAAGAAATAAATAAGGGTAAAATAAAAAGATAAATAATAAATTTATAGTGGAGATTAAATTAGTCATTCATCACATCTTTTCTTTACTATTGTTACTAGAATTTAATGTTAATTAATTAATTAAATTAATTAATATTGTTGGTAATAATTAATGGATAATGATTTCCAATTGATTACTAATGAAATTTTATTCACCTTTGTTAACATTTAGAAAAAGGAGT